CATAAATCTCGATAAATTAATTATTAGTAAGATGGTAATAAGGGACGGGGGAATGAAAAATCAATCCCTGTTATTATATATTCATAGAGGAGTGGACAGAATGGTGTTTGTTTTTTACGGTTTCAGAATTTGCTTTTCCAATTCAATGTTATTAGTCCATCACTGTGAATTTGTATTTCTAGCATAGCAACCAACTACTCCAATTCATGATGATACTTGGAAAAGAATACATCATACACAAACTGAACTTAACTTCGTTTGTTGTTTAGACCAAACGTATATTTAGAGGTTAATTTGTCAATTTTAGTATTCCCACTATAAACCATTCACCCAAGCTGAGGAGCCACTTTCAGAAAGACGTTCTTCTCCGATGCAAGATCATTAATCGATTTCACTCTATTCTATTCTACCACATGACTGTGAACGAATAATTCTAAAAAAAAGAGAGACCTCTCAATGTATTATTTTGTTGACCTCGGGCAGCTCTGATTTTTCTCTTCCTCTTTGGTACCCATCAAACTGTTTGCTGTACAGATATTGACTATAAACCAAGTCTGAGTGAAGAAAGGCATATTGGTTTCACCTTGGCCTTCTCTTTAGTCTATTCTCATTATTTATGTATTAATTCTTTGAAGAAAATTTGAATTCATTACCTAACACTAGGAGGCTCATCCTTTTTTAAAATTTGTAATTAATTGACTTTTTAAGTCAAGTGTCAAAATTTGAAATTATCAAGAGATCAATAAAAAAAAATAATGTATGAATTGCATCGTCTGAATGAAATTGCTTGCTAATTTCTTGAAAAAGTATAAAGGTGATATGAACTAGCCGTTTTGATTCAGTAGCATTGAATCTTGAATTAAGATTATTCATCTTTTATGAGTTACACGGTCGTTACACGGTCTTACGAAATTTTTTTTAATTAATTTTATAAATAATTATAAATTATTTAAAAAATATATAAAGATGATGGGTAAGTGGAAGAACGTAATAATTCAATAACAAAATAAAGGCAATAATTCAATAATAAAACAAAAAATAAAAGGTAGACAAGGAAAGGTCTGCAAGCTGAATGATTACTGCCACCACCACTTACGCTTATCTTAGTAAAAGCAAAAATTGGGGTAAAAGATAATGTGTGAGTTGTATATTCTCAATGATTGCTTGTCAATTTTTCAAAAAAGTATAAAGATGATGTTTAAGTGAAAGAACGCAATAATTCAATAATAAAATAAAATAAAAAGTACGCAAAGAAAAATGTGAAACCTGATTGACTACTACCACCACCACTTGTGCTATCAGTCGTGTTGTTCTTAATGAAAGTGAAAATAGGACGCAAGAGGTCCAATAAGTCACAAAAAGAATGTTTCGTTAGGCATCAGACTAAAATAATACAATAAAATAATAAATTGTTCCGCAGAAAATAAGAGATTGATGAAGATAAGGATTAAGAAGTGGCATAAATAGGATAAAAGCATTTGTCACTATGCGACATTTCAATAAAAATCAAAGAGAAGAATTCGATGATATTCCACGAGCTACAGTTTTAAAAAGTAGTAAATAGATTTTACAATAA